CGGCGGCTGCTCCTCCTGCTCTTCCTCCTCCTCCTCCTCCTCGTTCTCCCACTTCTTGTAGTTGACGTTCCAGGCGTGGTAGTCGTCCCCCACGACCGTGAAGTGCTTCAGGAACCGGCTCATCTTCCTGGCGGGCGCCACCTTGGCCCTGCGGGTGACTGTCTGCGGGGAGGGGACAGAGCGCGGGTGCTCAGGCAGGGCGGCCCCGGAGCCCGTCCAGACGGCTGGCGCCCCGCGTCTCTCTGGCGGGGAGCAGGGCCCCGCCGGGCCCCAGGGGCCAGGACAGTCCCAGAGCTTGAGCACAGAGCCCGTGAGGTCACGGTGGTTTCTCGGGCTACTATTTTTGGAATCCAGATTGTCGGTGGCAGTGAGGCAACAGGAAACACCAGACCCTCCCGGCCTATCACAGCGGTCTGGGTGGCAGCAACCAACGGAACTGGTACTACAGGCCGGTTACCCAGTACCCATCACTGGCCCACGTGTAAGGACCCGAAGAACGCAGCATGGGTCGAAGACATCACAAGCTGAAAACTGGAGGTGAAAGTTGGAGCGGGGGAGGGGAAAGCCAAAAGTAAAAGTACCCAGTTTCACAGACAAGCGAAGGCCCCTCCCCTCCCCTCTGCTCCATGCCACAGATCAGCCCTTGAAAGGTGAGCAGAAAACATTTTTTTTCTAGGATCGGCTAGTGCTGTTTTAAATACACGATGGACAGTGGTTTAAAGACCCATGACTTCAAAGCAAAAAGCAAATAATCTTCCCCTCTTTGCCCAGATAATATATTTTTTATAAAGTTCAATAATGAAAACTTTCAGGCATGGATACAAGAATAAGCAATATGGTCAGGAGAAGAGAGCCCAAAGCAGACGCAGGTCCCTGTGGAAACCTGGATGGGATGGTGGTGGCAGTCCAGAGAAGCAGGAAAGGCTGGCGAGGTTAGGACAACTAACTGGCTTTTCCAATAGAAAAATAAATAAATGAAAGATCCCTACCTCACACTACACACAGAATAAATTAACTGCCTTTTGGAACAAAACGCAATACTCTATTAGGGAAGACAGCAAAACATACTCAACAACATAACCTTCATAACGTCCAGCATATAATAAAAAATTACTAGACAGAAAAATAAACAGAAAATGTGGCCATAACCAGTAAAAAAAAAAAGAAGCTTATTAGCTCAAAATAGACAGAGATCAATGGAATTGGCCAACAAAGATTTGAAAATGGTTATTATAAATACATTCAAGGATTTCAAGAAAACAGGAACTTAATGAGGAACAGAGAGTCTCAACAGAGAAATGGAAACTATAAAAGATACAAATGGATACTCTAGAACTGAAAAATACATATGTATAATGAAAAATCACTGGATGAGCTTAACAGCTGATTAAATGCTATAGAAGGAAAGGTCAGTGAATTTAAAGACGAAAGAAGAGAAACTATCCAGCAGAAGCGTGGAGAGAAAAAAGGCTAGGGGTAGGGGGCGAAGAACAGAGCCTTACAGACAATATTAAGTGGTCTACCATCCATGTACCTGGAATACCAGAAGGAGATGAGCGAGATTAGGGCAGAAAAAAATATTTGCAGAAATAATGGCTGGGAAAAAAATCTCCAAATTTGATAGAAAAATATAAACATGTAGATCCAAGAAGCTCAAGGAACACCAGGGAGGGCAAACATACAAAAGAATGGACTGGAAGGAGACACCAACTTCATGATAGTGGTTGCCTCGGCGAGGGTAGGAGGGCTGGAAATGGAGGGAATCAAAAGGCTCTTCCCTCAACTTGGAATGCTCTTCTCCCCATGCTCAGCTTGGCTCCCTCTTTCTCATGCTTGAAGCCTCAGCTGAAAGGTCCCTTCCTCAGAGAGGCCCTCCTTGACCCCTAAAATGTAAATCAGACCCCTTCTTAATTTTATAACCTCTCTATATTCTTTACCTCACCTTTGAGAGCTCTTATCAGTTTCTGACCAGAAATCTTTTTGTGTGGCTTATTTATTACTTCTCTCTCCACATAAGCATTTAAGCTCCATGAAGGCAGAACCTGTGTCCCCAGTCTCATGTGACACCTGAATTAG